TATATATATGTAATTAGCTCTTGAGCTAACGCTATATTTATTGTCCCTGGAGCTAACGCCTTATTTCCCCATATTCATGCTAGCTTAGTAACAAAAAGTTAAATGACTAAAGCTGAGGTTCTTCTTCCATGAAGCAGCTCTGCTGTCCTCCATCATTATTTTCAGGTTCCTGCTGCRTTATTCCTACATTCTCCTCTCTGTCAGAGCTCTCTGGTTTCATTTAAAGAGCCAATCCAAAATTTGATGTCCAAAATTCAAGCCTTATACGCATCATTTACCCAAAATACTTTGTGGCTTWACTAACATGGTGATGTCTGTGTGACTATACAGTATATATTTTGAATAATTAACAACTAAACAGCCTACAGTGTTTTACATTCTGGTTTTTATAGTTGATGTAAATGTTTATTAAATGAAAACTGACATAAGCTCAGACAGATTATTGATCATCTAATGTTTGTTTGTTTTCTTCACATAAATGTTAGAAACTGYGCACAGAGAAAACCAATCATTTGTTCACCTTTCTTCAGGTTCAGCAGCGCAGCCCTTCAGCCCGTTCTGGTTCACGGTGGAGCCCCAGGACACGCTGGCCGTCCGGGGGAACTCGGCGCTGCTCAACTGCTCGACGCACAGCGACGCGGTGGCGCGCATCGAGTGGAGGAAGGACGGCACGTTCATGAGCCTGGTCTCGGACGAGCGGCGGCGCATCCTCCCCGACGGCTCGCTCTTCTTCGCCCACGTGGTCCACTCCAAGCACAATAAGCCAGACGAGGGCACCTACCAGTGTGTGGCCACCATCGACAACCTGGGGTCCATCTCCAGCCGCACGGCACGCCTCTCCGTAGCAGGTAAGGAAAAAAAAAACGCTTTAGAAAATAGTGCTGGGCGGTATACCGTTTTGTACCGAATACCGGTTTTTATTTTTGTTATTTTTCCTTGCTGCACCGCTCTGTACGTTAGCATGCTAATGTTTGGAGCAGCTAGTTGCAGCCGTGGGTGGTGATTTCGCTGCTTATATTGACTGATGTTTAAAAAACATCCCGTTTTCGCCGTCGCTGAATGTAGTAAACACCTCTTCAGTGACGTGCACAGTTAGATTTAACACGGTTAGTTAATATGGAGACGTTATGCTGATGGAGACTTAACGTGCTTCTATTGTGAAAAGCCTGCAGGAAGTAGTTTGTAGTGGAGTTGGAATTGACTGGTGTCAAGGTGAGTCATGCTTTTAATAAATAACATAAAACAATAAACCCGATCATAATCTTTTCTTAACCCTCCTTCACGACTGGACCAAAATG